GGGGTGGAACTCGAGCCATTAGATGGAGCATTTCCGTATCGCATGGACTGGAAGGGCAACTGGGCAAGGCGAAGGGGTTTAACTGCCAGATTCATTTCCTTGCTCTTAACGCCTTCCTTTTGCAACGCGAAAAGTTGTGAAAGCTGTCCTTAAAAAAAGGCGGTAAGCAGAACAAAATTTGAGGATTATAATGTGATCAGCTGAAAGGGCCTTTAAAACATTTGCTTCGCTTGGCTAAGCAAAGCTCATAAAATTCAGTAATTATTTTAGGGAAGACGAAAAGACCGTCAAAACCGTCAGAGAAGTGATCACTAGGCGACGTAGCACTGGTCAAAACAACCAAGAAATAATGAAAGAAAATGACATAATTGTCTATTAACACATATTGAGTGAATGCACACATACCGGTGTTGAACCAACAGTCGTTTCAAGTATCTATCATCAAGCAAGTTTTTTAGAAAAAAACAGAGATGCCACTTACGTAAGAAATACCAATATGTGCTTTCGGTATGAGCTCCTTCTGGATACGGTACCAGCAATGTATTGGGTCGCAACGGCCCGATTCCACAACTTTGAATCAGCGTTGATAATGCACCTTCCAGTTGATTAGCTTCGTAGATAAGTGACGAACAGAAGCCGCGGACTTTCGCTATTGCCATCTCATTTATTAGCTCATTCTTCAGTTCCGCCGCAATCATCTTGATGAAAAACTTCTCAGAACACTCTTATCCCAATACCTATTTTATTCAACTGCTCAGCTGCACTTTGCAAAAGAATATTCGGTACTTTGACTCTTTTAAACCTATAACGACCATCAGTGCTGTCAATCCGAGCATCTCATGTTAGTGGTGTTACTGGAATGCTCCTACTAGTCGGGCGTTAGTGGTGTTACTGTTAGTGGTGTTACTGGAATGCTCCTACAGCGCAGCTGTGCCAGGCTTTTTCATCCTAGTTGCATATCTTTAGCTAATACAAACCGCCTACTCGATATATGTGCGCCGTAATCTAATATCCACACACATTTATTTATTTCTTCCGAAAAGAAATCGGTTCCTTTTCTGTACGAGGTAGGGCTTGTTGCAGACTATAAAGTTTTTTTTTGCAGGTTATAAAGCTTTTTTGCAGGTCAAAGGTTATAAAGTTTTCTTGTTGCAGGTTATAAAGTTTTTTTTTTCACCCTCAATCATATCTATCATTAACTATACAGTGAGAACTGCATTTCAGCAAATTCACTTTCCTTCCAGGAATGCCAAACCAGAAATCTTTTTTTACAGCTAAATAGAAAATTGGTTTCCCAGAAAAGCTTCTTGAAAAGAACGCAAATTACCTTCGCATTCTTATCAGTTGGTTCTCCTTGGTGCAGCGCCACAGCAACCGTCAGCCCGCGCCCCTTCTTCAACTGGCTTGCAAAACTCATCAGCTTCCGAGTGGTTTCTTTTTGACGCCAACTTTCTACCGACAACAGATTAGCAATGAGCAGAAGCTGTGGTCGCCAATTCTTTGGATGTGGCTGCTTATCCTCCAACTTTGATAAAGAGAACTGCGCTGTACTCAGCACTAAACCTGTGATACCATCACCCCATTCTTTTTTATCGCTGGAAAATTAAAAGATTTAGAAAGAACATTAAAACTCTAGCTTGACATAGCTACACCCAGCTGTAGGAGCAT